TCTGGTCCACAGAACTGGTCTGGTCTTTAGTCTTTACCTGGTCCAGGATGGCCTCTGGTCCACAGAGGTGGTCTGGTCTTTAACTCTTGGAGTTTTTAAGTCTCATCTTAAAACATTTATACTCTCTGGTTTTTAACACAGCTGAGAGTTCATGTTCTTGGTCATTTTTATTGTTTAATTTTTGTCTTTTCATATTTTAAAAGTTTTTATTTTTGTTTGTTTTTATGTTTTTTATTTATTTTGGACAACAGTTGTTTTAAAATGTACTTTATACAAATACATTTGATTTGATCTGATAAAAGCATCAATATTTAATATTTTAGGTAAAAAATATGGTTTTATCGTTTATGATTTTAATGATTTAAAAACGTTAAATATAGCCAAAGCAACATTTTCTTTATGACACTTTTCATGGCTCGTTAACACGTCTGTTATAAAACGAGAGTTTCTGTAGTTTTTCTTGTAGTTCATTGATAAAAGATTTGTAGTTTTATGAAACCCTCAGACTGTTGCACAGCTCTTTCCACAGCTCAGTCCAGCTCTTGTATTTAGTGGATTTTAGTTTCTTTTCCCACTTCACTGCTGAGACACAGGCCAGCATCATAATCCACCCACCCTCATGCTTAACACTGAGAAATCCCTCCGATGCTATTTTGAAAACTTGTGTCTTTTGTATCAAAATCAGTATTTCTTATTTGTCAACCTAACACACATTTGGGCTCTTTCAAAGTTTTCCTGATCTTCACTTCACTGAATACATTACTGAGGTTGCCAAAGCATAACGACCTAATTAGGGTCTATGAGAGCTCATATTTCTTAACGTACCTTTTTGTCACCCAGAAGTTGTACAAAACAAAGACAAGCATCTGTGGAAATCATTTTATCCCATAATGATTCCCAGACACAAAAACATTGACAAAACCTTGCCACGTGTCTGTATTTGCAGAAGAGACTCGTAAATACGAGGTCTTTGGGTTTACCTTCCGAGCGTTAGTAGACATGCTCCTGGCCATCATCCCCTCCAGATAACTGCTCAGACTGACGCCCTTCACCGTGATAATGGCTTCCTGCGTCAGGACAGTCCTGCGGAGCAGCCCACAGAGCAGACAGAGAAACACAGACCACACCATCACAGTGTTTCTCTCATTTATTGTTGCACAGTAACATCCGAGTCTGTGCTTTGTAACCAAAAGCTCCTGTTAGAAAGTCAATGCAAAGCAGCATGAAGAGCACTTACACCTCGGGGTTTTCTGGGTGCGGTCTGTAAACGAGCCTCTCATCTACTGATATGAGGTTGGTGAGAGTAATCTGAGGGAAGGAATGCATTCAGATTTCCTTACACTCGACTTTATGACAAGAGACAGAGGTGAACACTGGTGTGTGTTGTGATCAAATCTGTGCAGAGGTCATCGACTCACATTGGTTGAGCACAGCTCCATCTTTTTCTCCTCTGGGTCGACTATGGAGTGCTCCTTCACGTAGGTCTGAGTCTGGTTGGTTCCCAGGATCTAAAAGGAGAAACGTTCAGTGGAACAGAAGCGCTGACATCACAGATCTTTGGCTCACTTCACCGGGGATTCTACATCATTTTTATTAGAAACGTTCATATGTCTGAAGATTCATTTTTAAGAGTTGTAGTCAACTTTAGGGTTAATTTTAAAGCTTAATATTTTAATAGCGGACAGATTTTTATCAAATGAATAGTTCTAACACTTTTAAAATACGGTGGCTACAGAAAGATGGAAAACTGAACAATTCAACGTTAGTGAGCTTTTTTCCGTACATGTTTTCGGTAGTAAAATTGTGTTAATCAGTGGTGAATCGTAATTACAAGCACTAGGCCTTAAGTTAGAACGTAATATTATTACATCTTATTAAATGCAAACATCGTAGACACTACGGAGTCACGTTCAGATTACAGTTTATCACTTTACTTCCTGTTTCGCACGAAAGTTTGTCTGTTTCCTGTTTTGAAATTCAGTCACTCGCTGACAGGAAGTGCTTCTCCTCTTTTTATCCAGCATGACATTCAACCTCTTTTAAAAACAACCTGAACATTCATGTCAACCCAACACTAACAGAAAAGCCAACAGGGATGACCCATCTGAACACAGAGCCTGAAAAAAGTCCACCTCTTTCCCAAGATTACCCAGAAGGCCCTGCGGCTAACACAGCCCCTTGCGTTCAAGTACAACATGTAATTTTACTGTCACACCGAAATTGAACAGTAACCGAAACAAACTGCTGTTTCTGTAAAATGTCATCAAGTAATGAAGCCAAAGTGCAACTTTAATATTTAAAATTATCAATGTAAACTCTATCAACATTGTAATTGGTTAATTTTCCTGTCAGTTATCAATCAAACTCATCCTGCATTCTGGACATCATTCTGACTGAGCTCAGCCTTCTCTCCTGACAGCGAAGTCCTAACCAATAAAAAAAGTTTCAAAGTAGCTTGCATAAAATAAGAATAAGTAGCAAAAATAGGGGAAACTACATTGAAAATATTCATTTTATAACAACTGCAAATTAAATTAAACATTTAAATGTAACATTTCATATGTGCTGGATCCTTGGGCCTTCTCTGAAGACGTTGAAGGCCCTGAGGGTTCCCCACTGGTGTTCATTTTGTAAACCTTTTAGCGTGAAATAAAGTTTGGCTGAAGTTTTTAAAAAGACAAAAGACTGCACTACATCCTGCCTGTGGGAGGTTAGGGTTTCTATCTTTAGTGCTTAAAGAACTGAAAAAGTTCTCTGCTTGGTTAAGCATTAAAAAAATAGATTTTGTCATTAAAAAAATGAAAGAAAACCTCCAAAATAGAAGCTCTATTTTCCATTTTTTATATGTATCCAGTCCAGGATAATGAAAATCCATACATCCCATGAACCCTGATTCAATACTGTGCAAAAGTCTTGTGTCATCCGTCATGTCTTTATATGTTTTTTGAAGAAGCCAGAGTTTTACGTCATCTTTTAAAGTGGTCATTATCAATACGTTATCTAAGTTTTTTAATTATTTACTCTGAAGTTATTTTTTTTTTAAGACTTTGGTTGCTTTTTCATCATTTTTTTTCCTCTCTCCAGAAAATTAGTTTAAAAGAAAACTCAAGTAAAAATCACGAGTGTTCTGGCTGCTTGGAGACAAAATATAAAAGCATCTGTATTAATGGAAACATGAATCTTCCCACAGATTAAAAACATGCATGTTAGATTGGTAACTCTAATTTGTCTCTAGGTGTGAGTGAGAGAGTGAATGGTTGTCTCGTTTGTCTCAATGTGTCCCTGTGATGGACTGGGGACCTGTCCAGGGTGTCCCCCGCCTCTCGCACAGTGACTGCTGGATGTGGGCACCAGTGACCCCCGTGACCCGAAAAGGAAGACGTGAGTAAAGATAACGGATGGAAACGAATCTTGAAGATGCGAAACATGTCAGTGTTTGAGACTGACCGCTCGTACGATACTCGGCAGTCCCCACTCTGTGCTGAGGAGTCTGTGGCTGTGAAGACGTCCCTCTGTGTCCAGACTGCGATCCAGCACGTCTACACCCACCACATTGGGGTTCATGGGGTTGGGGTACTTCCTCATGGCAGCCTTGATCACTGTCTCCCAGGGGTACCTGCCACAACAAAACATCAGGTAGTAATCGTAATGATTAAATTATTCTTAACGACCAACGTAGCCGTCCGATATATGCTGCTTTGAGATAAACATTTGACCGCTGTGGTTACATGATCATCCTTACAGTAACACAACAGGGGACGTCTTTAGAAGCCCTTCTGCTGCTATAGAGCTAATCGAGGAGTCACTCTCTCCCATCTCGATAACGTCCACAATCATTTTGATAACTCTTTGACATATGTTTGTGTGTTGTTCTTGGACTTTTTAATACAGTTCAGCTGAATATTTTAAAATGCCTCTGTGATCTGAATGCCAGCAGCCATCTTGTGTTGAGGATCGGGGAGTTTCTGAGAGAAAGACCCCAGCGAGTCTGTGTCAATAACACATCATCTGATGGAAGGGTTCTGAACACTGGTGTCCCACAGGGTTGTGTGTTATCTCCATTTTGATTTTCCTTAAATGAACTGTTGCATAACAACAAATGCACGGACAGCCCCTCTTATTCCCAGCTTATAGGCCAACTTGTTTCATGACAGTTTTCTTCACGTTAATGTCAGTAAAACCAGAGCGCTGTGTCTGGGAGGTAGACTGGGAGCAGCGAGCACCAGGCCAGTATTCAGGCCTAGTTTTGGAGAGGAGTGTTTTTCTGAACTGGAACTGAACATGGAATGAAACAAAGTAATCCTTAATGTTTCTGGTGCAAGATGTTTAAGTCGAGACACTACCAGTAAAACAAGTGCTGAATCAGTCACAGTCTTTAGCTGCACGAACATGTTCCAGTGTGTTTTGTATCGCCTGAAATAAATGTAGACAAAGTGTCTCACAAGAGATAAAGTGTTACATCTTTGCTGTTAATGATTTGGAGAGAGAACATACCATTACTGCAGTGATAATTCACTGTCCGAGGCAGCAGGGTGATGGATACTGGTAAGCTGAGGGACCTATTTTATCCACCACCATACATAATGGTAGAGCCAGGGAGTGGCAAATGGTGGCCTTGGCCATCATAGATTAATCTTCAGCCACCCCAATCATTTGAGGATACTATACTTTTAGCAATATAAAAGCGAGATGTGGTGGTGGCCATCTTGGATTTTGACATGGCAACCCAATTTTCTTACATTTAGATGTAGCCACACACCACAATGGACGTCAGTGTCTCACTTGTTGTTAAGTTTCATGCTCAAAAGATGAACAGGACGGACAGTATTTCCGTGTTCCTTCTTCGCTCCGCAACAGGGGACAAAAAAGCCAGACAGCCTGTCCATCTTCTACGTAACCTAAGGAGCTTCAACGCAAGCAAACACTCTGCAACTGGTGTACTGGTTGAATATGGTCTCCTGGTGGGGGAACCTCCTAACCAGAAACAGGAACAAGTGGTGCTGTCTTATGAGCCATGTCCAAAGACAAGTCTCCATAAAGTTATGGACAATAAAGTTAATAGATTGATTGGTTCACTATAAGACAAGCTGAATTACTGACCGGAAATAGTAATTTCAGAGCATCAGTGTGTGAATAACCAGTTTAAAGTCGGTTAATGAAGCTTTACATCACTCAGGCAACATCCTTCATTCCTTCACCCTGATTTATGGACCAACCTGAAGACATGTTCAGAGGTCCAGATCTTCATCATTCCACGGGTCGACCTGCTCTCTCACCGGACCATCATCATCCTCGTACAGGAACAAGTTGTCCGGATGGGCCTGAGTCGGTGTCAGTGGACCGGGACCGGAGGGGCCGTCCCCGCTCGTGCAGACATGATGCTAGATGCGCGTGAGGATGAAGACGATCACCTGCTTTCAGGAGACAACAAGTTGGGGATGAAACCAGAAGGAGAAAAAGAACCGGCTTAACAGACGAGACACGGAGCGTCAAGAAAGACAGAATGAGACCGACGTGTCCTTAGGAGTTTCAAAATAAAACCCCCCACCTGCTGTTTTACTTACGTCTCAGGTAACATGACGTGAAGCTGAAGGTTAGCCAAACTTTACAAACTTAGAGGAGAGTATTTCGGCAGGGACTTGAATTAAAAAGCAGATTTTCTCCTTAAAAATAATCTCTTAGTACTTTTACTGCACGTCCTCCGCTGAAGACAGTCCGCTTTAGGTCTTTCCGAGTGGACGCAGCTGATGCTCTACTGCCGCATCCGCTTCCGATTGTGCGCATGCGCAAAGCATCCTACGGCTTCAAACTCTGATAAAAACGGAGCGAAGCGGCATCAAGCTGCACAAAGGCAGTACCGACCAAACCGGAAATAACGCGAAATAACAGTCAAATAAAAGCCCCGGTGGCGTTCAAACCTACTAAAACCTGCTAAACCAAATACATTTAAATGATTAAAAAAGTCAAAGTATATAAATTGAAAACCATACGATGTGAGCTTACCCAGCATGTTGTATGGCAGGCCGTTGTAATATATAATCAAACCACAAAATTATCTTCATTCAACCTTTGACTTTTTTTTTTAAATTTATCTTTTACTTTTTTTGAAAGGGGTTGCACATCGAACCGCCATGCAGCAAATTGTGATCTGATTTGCAAACTTTGGCCTGGATGTTAGCCTAAAGAAGACTGAAGAGGTCCATCATCGAGCACTCGATGAGCCGTATGTGTATTGCTTCGTGTGTTGTCTGTTGTTCTGTCTGTACAGCACTTTGGCTGGCCTTGTAGCTGTTTTAAGTGCTCTATAAATAAAATGGTATGGTATGGTATGGTATGGTATGGTGTACCAGCCACAACACATCAGCATCGACCAAGCTGAGCTGAATGCTGTGAATCACTTCACATACCTCGGGTTCACAGTTTCATCAGATGCCAAAACTGACACAGAAATCAACACCAGGCTGGTTAAAATGAACAGTGCCTTTGGCAGACTCCTTAAAAGTCTGGTCCAACAAAGAACTCAGGACAGTGACAAAGATCTGAGTATACACAGCGGTAGTAGTCTGAGACATGGGGGGCCAAAGGCCAAAAGCATGTCCAACTCTTTCAATGCTTCAGCGCTGACTTAACTTCATCCTTAACATCCACCAGAGTGACTACGTTACTTTTATTATGCTTTCAATCCTCCAGCAGATGGAGATCACCAGTACTGAGGCCATGCTCCTCCAGGCACAACTACAATGGGCAGGACTCGTGTCCAGAATGGAAAACCATTGTCTGCCTAAGGTCCACCTTACAGCAAAATGTCCTCAGGCTCTGGGCATCGCAGCAGAGGTACCCCAAAGAAGAGGTACAAGGACCTCCTCAAGACCTCTATGGCCACGTGCCACATCACCACTCACACCTGGCTCTTCAGATGACAAAACAAACTGGTGCAACACCACCCACAGGGTAGTGACAGACTGAGACTTCACACATCACCAGCCTGGAGGAAAGTATGGGCCACCCTAGAAATGAGACAGGATATAGAACAAAGAACCCCCTGCTCCAACCCAACCAGTCACTGACCTGCAGTCACTGTGGCTGAGATTGCCTCCAAGTTTAGCCTTGTCAGGAAGATCTTCAACAAAGTCAAGAAGACGATCTCTAATGACTTTTTCTGAACGTCATTAACAGCTTTTTTCCTAGTCTTTATAGTCACACTCAAACCAGTCACAATCAAAATGAAACATATCAAAGATTAAATTCTTACGAGTACATATTGTATATTTGCACAGCTAAAAATGTAGCCTATTAGAAAAAAGTTCAAGATTTAAAAAAAAATGTTTAAAAAGTAAACGTGACCATTTTGACACTTTTTGGTAAAATGTGATTTGAGTTGCTCATATAAATATCTGAAGCATGTTTGCTTTTTTCACAGAAAACATTTTAGGGAGAGATCTCGGTGGTTGCGTCAGGAAGAGCATCCAGTGTATTAAATAACTGCCATATGTTCATGTGAGTTAAGTTGCTGTGGCAACCCTAAAGAAAGGAGCAGCTGACAGAGAGAAAGAGAGCAGAATATTGAGAGAGCAAAGTGTGTGGAGGAGCAGGGTGTCTGAATGACGGCAGGGCACAAGATATGAAATCGTTTAGACCAGGGGTCTGCAAGCTGTGGCTCTGGGGCCACATGTGGCTCTTTGGTCCCTCTGCAGCGGCCCTGTCAGGCTTTGACCAAAATTAAAATAAAACTGAATTTTATTTCAACAATGAAACAACAATGAAAATGGCTAGTTTCAGCAGATGTCCTGTCATTTTCAAATATGTGAAGGTAGTACAAATACACAGTGTAAAACATGTGGGCTACATCATGCTAGTAGTTTGTTAGTCACTTTAAGTCGACTTCCAGTCTCTCAGCTGATCGTTCTCTCCAAACCAGCAGAATGTTTAAAAATATCTTTAAGACAAGCTGCTGAGATGGAATATGGTAACTTTGATAAGATAAAGAATAAAATACAAAAAACAAAGTCAAAGTAAACAAACGCATTTATTTTCTTTTGAAATGTAATTGGATATCCAACAAACTGGTCTAATTTCATACTATCTTTGCTTTAAGTAGGATAATTAGTTCTTTCACAATTAAGAGAACTCGCATCAGCCTGCAGATTTCAGTGTTTTAATTTTTATAAAACTGTTAAATATTATGTATTTTTTATTTCTTTACGTGAGTCTGGGCTTTTGTTTTGTACCAAAATGTAAAAATATCAATATATGTCCTATATGTAGTGACATTTTTCGTTTCATAATATCACCCACACTAGAGGGAAAAACCATCTCCAACAAACTTGCAGTGGTCCAGGGACCACCGGTTGACAGTTGGAGCAGGTTTTGTGGCTCCGGACATCTAATTAGTAAGAAAAGTGGCACAAATGGCTCTTTTTATCGCAAAGGTTGCAGAGCGCCTGGTTTAGACAATGTGTTTCAACAAACCAGAAATAAGCATGAATAGATGTAGACCACAATGCATTGCAAAATACTGACTTCAATCATACACATTAATAACTGTAAAAATGTCCACAAAGATGCGAAAACCTATTATATGATACATTTGCTTGGCCCATGTGCACCACCTTTTAGAGGTGTGTTTTTTGTATATCTACATAAAATTTGAGATACAGACATAGTCCAACACGATGCTATTAAAATCAAATGTATATTTTGTTTGTTTGTTTAATACATATGTGTCAAACTCAAGGCCCGGGGGCCAAATGTGGCCCTCGTCGACATCTTATCTGGCCCCCAAGATGTTATTTTAAATGTAAAATACTTTTAGCTCTTTAATTTTTTTCAGTAATCTTTGAATATGATGTCAAAAGTGCAACAGAGAATAAATGAGACCAATCAAATTCCTGTTGAGGAACCTGCAGCCAAGAAAAGATGTTGGGTCTCCAACTTGAGCTGATGTAGATTCTGAAACCTGCCCTTAGTTTGAAAAAGGTTTTAATTTTGGCCAAGTTTTGTAAGAGAGTTTGACACCTCTTGATTTAATATTTCACCATAATAGATGCAGAATTGAACAAACCTCTCTCGGGACGTCCCTGTCTTATTTTGAAAGTGTGACCGGAAACGTCGCATACATCCGGTCTGCCTTCCCTCCCTCCTCTCGGCTTTGAGGCGCATCGCTGAGGCAGACTGGCACCGGAGGAGAGTAATATGGTACCTTAACGACTGGTCCATCCAGCGGCCTGTTTGGTTCTGTTTCTGTTCGGCGACCGATTCGTCGGTTCATGTCAAACGTTTACACCCGGTTAGGAGCTGGAGGAACGGAAAGCGCACGAGCTGAAACCAAACACGGATTTATTTAGGAGAAAAGCAGCGAGACGGTAAGAAGACAAGCATCCTCATCCGAGGCTGCTTGAACAAATACGAGCTTGACTGATCAGGCCGTACGTGTTCTGGGTGAAATGTTTTACAGATGGAAGGAGCGCATTACAATTATTATTATTATATATTATTTAAACTCAGATTAAAAATAATTGGGCCCGCTGGAGCAGATTAAAGGCCGCGGGTCGCATAGAAGGATTTTTAAAAAACAAATAAACACGTCTTTCTGCAGCAATTATTAATAACAGTCATTAAATATATAAATGATGTGGTTCTTTATCTGATGATGTTTAGTCTGTCTTCAGTTCCTCCGGGAGCTCAGATGGCAGATGCTGCTGCAGCAACTGATCCGAGGAAGAGGAGGAGGAGGAAGAGGAGGAGGGGGTGTAGGATCATTAAATCCCACCATGCACCTCAGTGTGCGCACTGCTACTGTCTCAGTGCGTTTCTTTCAGATGACCTATTTTAATGTATACAGGTGGATATACCTACATTACAGGAGTCCAAGCCCCACCAAACGTGCACTGACACGTGCGCTCTGCCTGCACAGTCTTCAGCAATCAAGGCCTCTTTGAACTGTACAACAGGCCTCTGTTGTTTCAATGGATTTACAGTGTTTTAATAAAGGCTTATTAGTGCATAAACCATGTGGGAAACAGTGGCGGAGCTAGATATTTATGCAAGGGGGGCCACATACAAGAAAAGTATGCAATATGTAACTGTGGTAATAGTAATATAGATTAAAATAGAATAGACAACTTTATTAATACTCAGTGAGAAAGATTGACACAGCAGCAGGAACAGCATGGTGAAAAATCAGGTGCTAAAACTGCACAGGTTAAGACAGGTGTCGAAAACACATTATAAAACAGATGGAAAAAAAAGTGCAAAAATAAACACAAAATGATATGGTGCAAGAATAATACACTGTCAGATGTGTACAAACAACACGGTATAAAATTGGTGCAAAAACCACAGATGATCAATAGAAATACAGTTAATAAGTCCAACTACAAGTCCAATAATATAACTTCAAAATTTGAAATACTTTCTGTAAACTGAAGCATGCAAGCAATCTATGAGTAAAACACACTGGATAATTTTTTAAAGAGATCTCTGACAAGTTGGAACAACAGACCTTCATTGATAAAACATTACTTCAGCTATAAAAAAAAGAGAGTAAAAATAATGTAGACTGTTTAGTTTTTATAATTTAAAAATAAATTCATGACACACTGATGTTGTTGCCATTTTTGAATGCAGCAATGCATTCTGGGTAAATGACATGGACAGGTTTAGCCAGTTTGAGCTCCATTCAGCTTGAATGTTAATTTGGGACATTTTCTGTCGTTCAGCCTTTTAATTTGAACAGGAGCACATTGACAGAGAGAATGGAGCAATAACTCAGCTTTAGCTCCAGAGTTAATGCATATGATGTTATCCAAAAAAGTTCAATCTGGTCCTCTGAACATTCAAAAAAGCAAAAAACAAAACAAAGCAAAAAAATCTAGAAACGTTTCGT